CTCGACCGTAGCCGCCACTCTACTGCCCAGGACGTGGTCCACAGGCCCAACGTCGACTAACCGTCTACCCAAACACCAATTAACGTTCGCATGAACATTGTGAACATTCTATTTACAAAGGTCAGCCCTAAACTCCAACATTATTAACTAAGAGTTGTAATTACTGGTCTCACATTCCTTGAAATATTACGGCTACCAAATATGGGAATAAATAAATATAAAACTATAGGCAATTGATTTGCCAACAATCGCCCTGGCCATTCCCAAATATTGTCAACCGCCCACACGGCTAATTTCACGTGACATCCACCACCAAAACAAACCTTACACACACTACCCAGCTATCTATGTTATATATATATAATGTATGTATATCTATATACACAAATCTTATACAACTGACAGCAATATTTACGTAGAGAAAACAATAACATAATACGAGGTTCGGGAGAATTGGCAGAATCGTAATAAGATTCGTGACACTAGGTTCCATATGGTCCATTTCGACTATACAATTTGTGTGATAAATGAGGCAGGACTTTCCCAAAGTTCCACCCATTTACTCTGGATAATGGAGCAAGACCTGGCGCAGGAATTAATATCGGGAAATTGGAGAATCTGGGGTTCCATTAATTAACTGCCATTGGGCGACAATTGGTCGACTTCATATGTACATCAACAATTAATAAAGAGATTTACCATGAAACATTTAATTCAAATAAAGTAAATAAGCATCTACTAATACTGTCCAGTCTCGTCCGGATAATCCAACTTAATCACGTATCCGAATTTAAACATGTTTTCCGGATGATGGGATCACCTTCACTATTGATGACGGATTAAGTGTTATTTTCCATAATTTACTGGACAAATAATCTCGGGTAAATGAACTAAGGATTAGATTGTTAATTTTCTGTAAAATTAAAATAATTCTATTATAAAATCCTAAATGATTCCATATAGCTAGTTTCAGATTTCGATAGGAAAAAGGAATATTTACATTGAAACTTTTGAAATGTTTAGGTTAATTAATTATTATGCAAAAAGAGAAGGTTAATTGCTTGCTAAACATTCTTTTGTCCCATATTAAATAGAGTATAAAGAATCTTAAAGAATGAAAACACAATACAAAGAAAGAATAATTCTCCAAGAAGGAATAAAGAAGTGTACAACTCCACGCCTCGTTGCTGCAGCTTTTATTTTGTTGCTCAGGGCAAGTTCTGAAGCCTTAACCCAGCTCTTGTTTATCCCAACAAGAGCTGGGATAAGCCCAGCTCTTGTTTATCCCAACAAGAGCTGGGATAAGCCCAGCTCTTGTTTATCCCAACAAGAGCTGGGATAAGCCCAGCTCTTTCTCCCCAACACTGTACCTTCAGCTGTACCCACTTCCTGCTCGCCCCCATATATATCTTCCCCTATATAACGGGATATATGTTCTTGGAGTCGATCGGAAGTTGCTTCTCGAAATATATATTCATTAACTACAGTATACCTGCTGGTTGGTCATTAAGCAGTTTAGGTGACTTTATAATACCTACTTCCTGCTCACCTCCACATATATCTATTACTGTGTGACGGGATACATATTCTTGGAGTCAGAAGTTACGTCTCGATATATTAATCATTAACTACAGTATAACTGCTGGTTGGTCATTTAGCAGTTTAGGTGGCTCTTAATAATCTTACAGAGGTTACTTAACTTTAAGTCCAACACCTAAACTGTTACAGTTCGACTGTAATCAGCTGTAAGGCAAGCTGAAAGTTTTTTTTATTTATTTGTAAACATTGGTATTTGGAGCTTTCATTAACGATAATTTATCCATGTAATTCGCCCGCACAAGTAAAAGTTTAATAGCGAAATTACATAAAAATAAAGAAATTTGCAGAAGGTCAATTAAATGACTCTAATAACGTAGATTCTATTTACATTTTCATATGTGTTTCGTAGATTTTACTTTAATGTAACATTTTCGTTGTAAACCGGACATTCCTTTGTTTAGACAACGAGCTAATTTAAGAGAGCAGTCTGAAAGACAGTGGCATGTAAATCAATCATCAAATGATTAACACATTGTCGTGTAAACCATATGAGGAAAAGTCTGGTTTACAATAAGAAGTAACTGAATCAAAACATAATTTGTGGAGCATAGTATCCACGTGCGACGTTCGTTCAACATTGCATTAACGTTGATTTTGCGTCGCTCTTTGGATAGTGTGCCGACCGGGCCAGGCCACTGACCTGACCCGTCCCGACCCGACTTGACCCGAAGTTTCCAATAATCACAACTCAAATTTGAAATACAACGTCTGGGAGATTATACTTGAACTAAATTCATAAATTATCACTTTCATGAAAGGCCTGTCACGCTGGCAAGAATAATTTACCTTGATTTTTGACTTACGAATGAATTAGTGGCAAAGGGAGAGGGTTGTTGTTGTGGTGAAAGGGGTTTACATACTGAAAACAGTATGTAAACTTTATTCAAAAAAGAAGATATTGAGTAGTCTGAAAAGTATAACACAGTGAAATCGCTAAAAATAAGAAGCAGTGAACTTCATAAAACAAAACCATGACCGGATATTATTACAACATCAACTCTCTTTAAACTAAGTCACTCTGCAAGAAACTGTAGAGTGACTATAGAGGAAAAAACAATCCTTTAAAGTTGACCAAATCGTGTAATTACGACTCCATACACTAGAAAGAATGTGAGTTTACTACGCACAAAATACGACTGTTTAGAACTAGTAAGACCAAGGTCCAAGAGCTATAATCTCTAAACAAAATAGTTGACTCTCACACAATCTTTTCCTCGCGCCGAGAGAGGACCGCAGCCGGGATCTCGCACCCGGGTCGCACGGGCGAGTGCGCCTTCACGCTAAGCAGGCGATCGATCACGCTCATCCATCACACTCAACCATCTGTCAACCATCAGCTGAGATGGCGCACATGGATCAGGTCATAAACTTGAATACTTAGGAGCTGCCTCGTGTGAGCCAAAAGGCCTTCTGCGGTTACATTCATTCGTAGATTATTACACTTAAAATTTAATTATTTGATTAACCAATATACAATGAAAAATAATTTTTAAAACTTCTTTATTTCAATGAAACATTTTTATATATCTTTTTAAAAAAACAAAATATATTATATAATAATAGTTTTGAATTGAGATCTTCAGTAAATGAATTTAAAAAAAAATAATTTTCTCAAATTAATATCGTTAGGTGGGCCGCAGATAAAATTTTGAGTGTAATAAATTAACTGTCATTGGTTGGAGCAAGCTTTTCTTACTCTGATCAGAATATCCCTTTGTTATGACCAATAATCCACTTGTACACAACTATCATGTCACCCATAATTCTTCACATTTCTAGGGAATGTAATTTAAGCTTTGTCAATCTTTCTTCATATGACATGTTTCTAATTTGCGGGATTAACTTTGTCATCCTATGCTGGACGCATTTTAATGTACGGCGCAGGAATAGTGTGCAGGAATGCACACTAGAGGAAGTTTATTGTCCTGAAGAAGGCTGTTTATTATTCTCATGAATTGGGCGGGGTCGTTCTGGGCGACCCTGTCTGCGATCACAGTCAATACTTGGACTGGAGGGGTTATAGCAGGGGTTATTAGGTTTAGCTGGGCGGATGACGGATCAGCTTGCCTGGTCTGGCTCTCCCATGCTTGGGGTTGCACATGGTTAGTATTTGGTGGTGGCGGGTGCACATTGGGGTCGGGTCTCTGGTGAGGAAGGTTGGGGAAGGATTGTGTTCCCATGCTTTGTGGTGTGTTCCCATGCTTTGTGGTGTAGTTTGGGTACGTGTGGTGGCTTGCCTCGTCTGGTCCAGAATCCTCTGGATTTCCTCCTTCCTTTTGGGGCAGTGAGCAGCCACTGCCTTGTGGTTCCCACTGCATAGGGCACATTTCAGGATGGTTTCAGTGCACGCAGTGAAGCGATAAGATTCTGCACAGTTGCTGCATTATTCGCCATTTGCCTTACATTGGGGAGCTAGGTGGCCAAACTCAAAGCACTTGAAGAATTGTTTGACTCTCTCTGCTTATCCGGTCTGGTGTCACCAATAAGTTGAAGCATTTGAGCCCATTTTTCTCCAGTTCCCTGGCTTGGGCTGGAGAAAAGTGCTGTTCGAGTAGAGTTGGGATTGTGGATTTTGTATATATAGATATATAAAATCCACAACCCAACTCTACCCGAACAGCACTTAAACTAACACTTGACACTCCAGCCCAAGCCAGGGAACTGGAGAAAAATGGGCTCAAATGCTTCAACTTATTGGTGACACCAGACCGGATAAGCAGAGAGACCTGGATTCCGTCGTTTACCGTGGTGATTTAATTCTTAATGTCATCATTACTTCGGGCGGTGATCATTGTGCTGAGTCTTGTTACAAAGACCGATCTTGCAGCCTGGTATTGGGCAGCGGGATGTAGTTCGATGTTTAGCTTCTTAAAGGCGTCTTGGAGGTCAGGGTTGAGACGTTTCCTGATCTCGTCTTCATTGGAGAGCACTACCGTGGCTCCTCTTTGAAGTTTGATGTGAACGTCTACAGGGGCAACTTCTGCAATAGAGCTCAGGGCCATTGCAAGGTCATTCTCAGTGGTGGCTATGTTCCCAGTGAACTTAATGTTAATTTTAATCGTCATTGTGATAAGATGACAAGTTAATAGTAAATCCACACCTCCTATGCATATTACTAGCCTAACCATGCTACACTGGCGGAACAGTTGCCCCGACTCTTTGCTATCCTAGACATACTCGCATCAGCAATGGGAGGTCTACGGACTGCTCGTAGTGGAGAGAGGATGTGAAGCACGTCTGCTCTCCACGGCGGCTGACTGTAAGCTCTTGAGATCACTTCTCGGTGTATGGTGATAGTTGTATATTATACAGAGAATCCAAGAGATCACTTAGTAGGTTCAGTATTTGTATATAATAACTATTTATTATATATAGCTTGTGGTAATATGGGAAATTATATGTAATTTATAAAATTTATTTATTTAGATTCAGTATTTTTATATAATATTTAACTATTAATTAAATACAGCTTGTGGTAATATGAAGAATTATATATAATTTATAAAAAATACTTAATACTATATTTAAAACAAGTTAATACACATAAATAGTTAAGAAATTACAGCAATGATATACAGTTTCTGAAGTCATATATAATTATGAAAGGCAGACTAATGCAGTTTTTATATCCTCAGCCTTACATAAGTATATTAAAAGTATAGATTCATTATGTAATAATTCACAATAACAGCAAATACAGATTTTTTTATTAAGGGTAAAATGTGTACTTAGGGTCTCGTAGCACAGTAGGCTTCATTTTTAAATCACAATCACGAAATTATGTTTGATCCCCAAGTGGGACAGAAACGGTTGTGCACGTTTCCTTTCACCTGATGCCTCTGTTCACCTAGCAGTAAGTAGGTACCCGGAAGTCAGGGCACTGTTGTGGGGGTGGCATCCTGGGAAGGGTCAATAGTTCCATCTTGTGAAGGACCCTCAAGGATATATAAATTATATATGTACACAGGCTTCCTGTCCCTGACATTAGGACCTTTGGATTAAAATTGTAGCTTTAGAAAGCTTAATTAATGAATATAAGTGATATAATCATTATTAGTACAATGAAAGTCAGAGTAAAGGATCGGTTATCACTCAGTACTGATGTACCAATAAGAACGTTGAAGTAATATAGAATGTGGATCAGTGTTTTGTTCCCTGTCTTCAAGAACACTATAATTAATAAAATATTTAAAGATTTGAGTATCTTTAAATTATATTTATGTAATTATAAATAGTGAAAACTGAGATAATATAATGTGTAGACAGAATGGGGAATTGTGCTGAACATAGTCCAGGATTAAGGTGTATACACCAAGAAACAGAGTATACCTCTCGGTGTATATAAACACATATAGAGCACACACACACACAAGTATATACCACACGTCACAGGGGTATGTCAGTCTTCATCATTCTTGATGTCAGTCTTCATCAATCTTGATGTCAGTCTTCATCAATCTTGATGTCAGTCTTCATCATTCTTGATGTCAGTCTTCATCATTCTTGATGTCAGTCTTCATCATTCTTGATGTCAGTCTTCATCATTCTTGATGTCAGTCTTCATCATTCTTGATGTCAGTCTTCATCAATCTTGATGTCAGTCTTCATCAATCTTGATGTCAGTCTTCATCATTCTTGATGTCAGTCTTCATCATTCTTGATGTCAGTCTTCATCATTCTTGATGTCAGTCTTCATCATTCTTGATGTCAGTCTTCATCAATCTTGATGTCAGTCTTCATCATTCTTGATGTCAGTCTTCATCATTCTTGATGTCAGTCTTCATCATTCTTGATGTCAGTCTTCATCATTCTTGATGTCAGTCTTCATCATTCTTGATGTCAGTCTTCATCAATCTTGATGTCAGTCTTCATCAATCTTGATGTCAGTCTTCATCATTCTTGATGTCAGTCTTCATCATTCTTGATGTCAGTCTTCATCAATCTTGATGTCAGTCTCATCATTGTTGAAGCTACTGTTGTCCTCTGCTCGCTCCGACTCCTTTAAGTCCTGCAGTGGGCTGCTCTCAATATGTGACTGTTGGAATTAAAATATATTTTCATATATGTTTAAAACAGGAATTTTCTTAATGTGTAAATATGTTTATTATGAAACTGAACCGGCATAAAAGGTAAGGTAAATATTAGGAGGAAGTATTGGTTCAGTGTGACTAAATTAGCATTTGCGAGGTATATGAGGACAAGAAACTCAGATGGAACTTAGGGAAGGATTGGTGTCCAACCACTTGAACCTTCAGGCATCGAACGTAGACCTGCAAATAGCGAGGCCTCCGCTGTACTGATGAACCCAAGTGGATGAGATCCAAATAACAAATGGTTGAGCTACACACCTTCGATTTCTTATTTTTCTTTGTATAGAAAACGTAGCAGCCAAAGGCAATGAGTGCGACTCCCAGAACGCCGCCCAAGGTGCCTAGGACAATGGCCAGAGTGTCATCGCTGCTTGTATCTGATAACTTTTTATCAACTACTTCCTCGGCCAGCTGTATCGTCTGTGCACAAATGTCCAGCGGTGAGATACATGTTAACAAGAAGCATGAGTAGTGTAAATGTTGACACAACATGTTAGCAAGGTGCATGAGTAGCGTAAATGTTGACACAACATGTTAGCAAGTTGCATGAGTAGCGTAAATGTTGACACAACATGTTAGCAAGGTGCATGAGTAGTGTAAATGTTGACACAACATGTTAGCAAGTTGCATGAGTAGTGTAAATGTTGACACAACATGTTAGCAAGTTGCATGAGTAGTGTAAATGTTGACACAACATGTTAGCAAGTTGCATGAGTAGTGTAAATGTTGACACAACATGTTACTGAAAGCTGCGCACCTGCTTCTCAAAATGGAGCAACAGCCCTTGTCTTTGCTGAAGAAAGGAACAGTGACTAATTCAGTGTTCAGTTACTTTTATTAAATATCAGTGAAATATTTAATTGAAATGAAATATGCAGTTAAAGGCACCGAAAATCATTAATAACACTACAAAAATTTGCTTTCGATTCACCTGGGTTCTAGTAGACTCGAACTGCGAACTCCACGTGTGTGAAGCCGAAACACGTTTTATACAATAATTTGTATTGTCAGGGACAGGCAGCCTGTGTATGTATATATATTAGGCTGGTATTGAGGTTCCTGCAAAGTCGAATTACTGAACTTCCCCCATATGGTAGTACCTAATTACTGCTAAGTGAGCCTGCTAATTACTGCTTACGTGAAAGGAAACGTGCCCAACCACTTCTGCACAGGATGGTTATAAGATCATTATTGTCCTGATGCATCACACCGTTAGGGAGGGAACTCTGTACCAGCTGAGATAGAGAACTGTTATACATATCTGTTAGATTAGGTTAAACAGTCTCCGTGGTGTAGTGGTAAGACACTCGCCTGGCGTTCCGCGAGCGCTATGTCATGGGTTCGTATCCTGGCCGGGGAGGATTTACTGGGCGCAATTCCTTAACTGTAGCCTCTGTTTAACGTAACAGTAAAATGTGTACTTGGATGAAAAAACGATTCTTCGCGGCAGGGGATCGTATTCCAGGGACCTGCCCGAAACGCTACGCGTACTAGTGGCTTTACAAGATTGTAAATACTATGCTATGTATTCTCACAAACCCAATGTACCTTCTTGTATATAAATAAATAAATAAATAAACATCGATTGTGTAAATATAATAAATAGTATCACCTCATTTTATATACAAGAGTTGTTACATTCTTGTACAGCCACTAGTACGCGTAGCGTTTCGGGCAAGTCCTTAATCCTATGGTCCCTGGAATACGATCCCCGCCGCGAAGAATCGTTGTTACAACCAAGTACACATTTTACTGTTGCGTTAAACAGAGGCTACAGTTAAGGAATTGCGCCCAGTAAATCCTCCCCGGCCAGGATACGAACCCATGACAAAGCGCTCGCGGAACGCCAGGCGAGTGTCTTACCACTACACCACGGAGACTGATTTCTTGAATATGTGACTGTGAGTGAAATGTGGCCTAATTGATACCATTAGCGTGTAGCTGGTGTGGGAAATATTAAAGGTCAGTATTAATATTCACTTTAAAACACGTTGCAAGATTATATATTAATTTTTCAAATATTGTGACAAATGTTGAAAGGAAGGGCGAGGCGGACCCCATAAGTGGCTCAGATCCTAAATTGCAATGAAAAGGGACATGTGTGTTAATATTTACACTACTAATACAGCCTATAAATGGATATAATTTTTGCAGTTGAGAGTAAAAGTAGGTTCTTTATAGCAATATTTGGTCAACCTACACCCAAGGATCTTTTATCATATGTGCATAAATATAATTTTTGCTACATCAAATAATCTCACCAACCCGTTGTACCATGTTGTGAATAAATTATTATTATTATTATAACTGGCTCACAAGTTAGAAGGCTGCCTGCCCTGCCCTTATCCCATATACATATATAAAAAAGGTTTTCTTCATTAATAGAAAACGTTTTAATGGTAAACTAAAGCAAACTGACACATGAACGCGTTACAAGTTTCCCGTTGTTCCCTCCCTTACCTCTTCCAGCTGGTCGACCTGAGCCTTGAGCGCCGCCTTATCCAGACTGTCAACAAAGTCCGTATTGTCCGCTGCCTCGTCCACAATACTGTCCAGCTCCAGCGAGCAGTTGGTCAGTTTGTCTAGCTGATCCTGCGAGATGTCCCCGGCCTGTACCTCCTGCGTCACCTGCAGGATGTCCGCCAGGGTGGCGGTCAGTCGTGCACACAGGTCGTCGTCAGTAGCTGTCGTGTTGGGGTCACAGACTGGGTCGTCGCCCACTGACCTCACGCGACGACCAGCTGCTGCTGCTGACGCTGCCACTAGCAGCAGTTTGGTTGATAAACCTTTCGAGGAATTGTTTGGAGTTTTTGGTGGTGGGGTTGTGGTAGTTGGTGTGGTTGTGGTTGTGGTTGTGGTAGTTGGTGTGGTTGTGGTAGTTGGTGTGGTTGTGGTTGTGGTAGTTGGTGTGGTTGTGGTAGTTGTTGTGGTTGTGGTAGTTGGTGTGGTTGTGGTTGTAGTAGTTGGTGTGGTTGTGGTTGTAGTAGTTGGTGTGGTTGTGGTAGTTGGTGTGGTTGTGGTAGTTGGTGTGGTTGTGGTAGTTGGTGTAGTTGTGGTAGTTGGTGTGGTTGTGGTAGTTGGTGTGGTTGTAGTAGTTGGTGTGGTTGTGGTAGTTGGTGTGGTTGTAGTAGTTGGTGTGGTTGTGGTAGTTGGTGTGGTTGTAGTAGTTGGTGTGGTTGTGGTAGTTGGTGTAGTTGTGGTAGTTGGTGTGGTTGTGGTAGTTGGTGTGGTTGTGGTAGTTGGTGTAGTTGTAGTAGTTGGTGTGGTTGTGGTAGTTGGTGTGGTTGTGGTAGTTGGTGTGGTTGTGGTTGTGGTAGTTGGTGTGGTTGTGGTAGTTGGTGTGGTTGTGGTAGTTGGTGTGGTTGTAGTAGTTGGTGTGGTTGTGGTAGTTGGTGTGGTTGTAGTAGTTGGTGTGGTTGTGGTAGTTGGTGTGGTTGTGGTAGTTGGTGTGGTTGTGGTAGTTGGTGTGGTTGTAGTAGTTGGTGTGGTTGTAGTAGTTGGTGTGGTTGTGGTAGTTGGTGTGGTTGTAGTAGTTGGTGTGGTTGTGGTAGTTGGTGTGGTTGTGGTAGTTGGTGTGGTTGTGGTAGTTGGTGTGGTTGTAGTAGTTGGTGTGGTTGTGGTAGTTGGTGTGGTTGTAGTAGTTGGTGTGGTTGTGATAGTTGGTGTGGTTGTGGTAGTTGGTGTGGTTGTAGTAGTTGGTGTGGTTGTGGTAGTTGGTGTGGTTGTGGTAGTTGGTGTGGTTGTAGTAGTTGGTGTGGTTGTGGTAGTTGGTGTGGTTGTGGTAGTTGGTGTGGTTGTGGTAGTTGGTGTAGTTTTAGTAGTTGGTTCTGTGGTTGTTGTGGTGGCTGGTGGGGTTGTAGTAGTCATCACAATGGCCATCAGTCTATCAAGGGAGTTCTCAATATGAGTGAGTTCCTCCTTGATGCCCTCCAGCACCGCCTCTGTCATGGGGGAAGAGAATGGGACGAGGAGAAATTTGTTAGAAAATAGGAAGACAATTTTGCGTATAAAATGTTAATGGGATACTTCAATATTAATAGCTTCACCTAATATATATTTATTTTTAACTATGAATTTTCCTGTTTCCTGTATCAAATGTATGAATTTCTATATAAATACAAAATAAAGTTATTATTATTAGATAAATAAGTTAAAAGAAAATAATAAGAATATAAATAAATAATTTTTGGATTTACAGATATAAGGCAAGATGTATCAAATAGATGTACTTATATATAAATACAAAATAATAGTATTATTATTAGATAAATAAAATCAAAGAAAATAATAAGAATATAAATATATAATTTTTGGATTTACAGAAATAAAGCAAGATTTATCAAATGTATGTATTTTTATATAAATTCAAAATAAAAGTATTATCATTAGATAAACACAATTAAAGAAAATAATAAAGATATAAATGTATAATTTTTGGCTTTACAGAATGTAGAGCAGAATGGTCAATTAATGTTGTTAACTTTGTTTTGAATTTGAATTTAGGAACCCCGACCGGAGAGGTGCGGTGTATGTCCCAGAGGTGTGGGAAACACAAAGACTTATAAAATCATGTCAAATCAAATCTTATGGTTATATTAGCGTCTCTGTTGGGGAAAATGAACTCGCTTTGGGACGGGTAACGCACTGATAGCTGAAGGTGCCCCTGGGACCTCAAGGGCATCCCAAGACCCGCCAACCAGGCCTCAAGGGCATCCCAAGACCTCCAACCAGGCCTCAAGGGCATCCCAAGACCTCCAACCAGGCCTCAAGGGCATACCAAGACCCGCCAACCAGGCCTCAAGGGCATACCAAGACCCGCCAACCAGGCCTCAAGGGCATACCAAGACCTCCAACCAGGCCTCAAGGGCATCCCAAGACCTCCAACCAGGCCTCAAGGGCATACCAAGACCCGCCAACCAGGCCTCAAGGGCATACCAAGACCCGCCAACCAGGCCTCAAGGGCATACCAAGACCCGCCAACCAGGCCTACCTACCTTGAGGTGCTTCCGGGGCTTAGTGTCCCCGCGGCCCGGTCGTCGACCAGGCCTCCTGGTTGCTGGACTGATCAACCAGGCTGTTAGACGCGGCTGCTCGCAGCCTGACGTATGAGTCACAGCCTGGTTGATCAGGTATCCTTTGGAGGTGCTTATCCAGTTCTCTCTTGAACACTGTGAGGGGTTTGCCAGTTATGCCCCTTATGTGTAGTGGAAGCGTGTTGAACAGTCTCGGGCCTCTGATGTTGATAGTTCTCTCTCAGAGTACCTGTTGCACCTCTGCTTTTCAACGGGGGTATTCTGCACATCCTGCCATGTCTTCTGGTCTCATGTGGTGTTATTTCTGTGTGCAGGTTTGGGACCAGCCCCTCAATTATTTTCCACGTGTAAATTATTATGTATCTCTCCCGCCTGCGCTCAAGGGAGTACAGATTTAGGCTCTTTAGTCGGTCCCAGTAATTTAGATGTTTTACTGAGTGGATTCTAGCAGTAAAGGATCTCTGCACGCTCTCTAGGTCAGCAATTTCTCCAGCTTTGAAAGGGGCTGTCATTGTGCAGCAGTACTCCACTCTAGAGAGCACAAGCGTTTTGAAAAGTATCATCATCGGTATAGCATCTCTAGTGTGAAAAGTTCTTGTTATCCAACCTGTCATTTTTCTTGCAGTTGTGACGGCTACTTTATTGTGTTCTTTAAAGGTAAGGTCTTCCGACATGAGTACACCCAGATCCTTTACATTGCCTTTTCCTTCTATGTTATCATTTGCCTGAGTTTTGTACCTGGTTTCTGTTTTTATATTTTCAATTTTTCCGTAGCGCATGAGCTGAAACTTATCCTCGTTGAATACCATATTATTTTCTGTAGCCCATAGAAAGACCTGATCTACATCTGATTGGAGATCAGGCCTCAAGGGGAAACTTAAACAATTGTAGTTTTGCCAAGGAGATCACTACTAACATTGGTCATGAGGTCACGAAGTGATCCAAGTTAAAGTTGTATTCCTTCAGGATTAATGTTAACTGTTCTAGAGTATGCTGTGATTATGAGCAAGTACCACATAGGTTCAGCAAACCCACTGATCAACTTACTTAACAAATTGGTCAACTTTCAGTCGACATAAGAGTGTAATGATTCATTTGAGAAATTGAAAGGTATCTGATTCTAATCCTGAGAGGTGATATGGTTTAACAAGAGAACAGTTTACAATAGAACTGCAGAATAGAGTAAATGACTAGGTCAACGAACTGGTCAACTTGGGTCAACGCCACATAAATGACCCCAATTTGCACTCAATAAATAATCTTGTCAACAATGAATTAAAAACCCTCCACTTGTGGATGTCAACCAACAAACTCACACTAAACATAAAAAAATACTTACTACATTTTATTTGGTAGTAAATCATCAAATCAGATTCAACTTCGGATAGAAAATGTTAACATTAGCAGTAAAAATGAGTAGAAGTTCCTTGGCCTATACATAGACAAGAGACTCAACTTCAGCACCCACATACAACACATAACTAAGAAAGTCTCAAAAACAGTTGGTATACTCTCTAAAATTAGATATTATGTTCCCCACTCTGTTCTCTCATTATACTACACGCTAAACTATCCCTATCTTACATACGGTATCTGTGCATGGGGTTCAACCACTGCAAATTACCTCAAGCCTATCATCACTCAGCAAAACTCAGCTATCAGAACTATGACAAACTCTGTCTTCAGACAACACACAGCTAAGAGGGGTAGAAATAGCCTAAGTTACTCTATCCCTTTGAGATGTATTTCTTTCTTATCTCAATAAACATACTTGAACTTGAACTTGAACACACAGCCCCTCTATTTAAGTCCCTTAACATGCTAAACATACACTCACTCCACACATTCTCATGTGCAAAATCAAATGGTTATTCAGGTAAAAATACATACATAGAAGATGAGTTACAAACATAATGTTGGATTTATAGATAGAGGTAGTACATACAATACCTAAAGCCACTAATACCCATAGCGTTTCGGGCAAGGTGAGGTGGAAAAACCCACTTAGACTAAAACTTAATAGTAATTGAGATTAAAGTATAAATTGTGTTGAAAGGGGGGGGGGGACATGGCAGAAATCAACAGTCTCCGTGGTGTAGTGGTAAGACACTCGCCTGGCGTTCCGCGAGCGCTATGTCATGGGTTCGTATCCTGGCCGGGGAGGATTTACTGGGCGCAATTCCTTAACTGTAGCCTCTGTTTAACGCAACAGTAAAATGTGTACTTGGTTGTAACAAGGATTCTTCGCGGCGGGGATCGTATTCCAGGGACCTGCCCGAAACGCTACGCGTACTAGTGGCTCTACAAGAATGTAACAATTCTTGTACAAGAATGTACAAGTTGGTTAACAAACAGTATTGTTTGAAAATAGCAAGACATGGGTTGGCATTTAAGGGGTAAGGTAGGTTACATGGAGTTAATTATAGAGTACTTAGTTTTTCTCTTAAACTGGTTGAGAGAGGTACAGCCTTTGACGTGATTGGGAAGGTCATTCCAACAGTCTGGGTCCCTTGATTTGTAGAGCATTTCTAGTTTGATTAAGTCGTACTCTTGGAATATCAAATAGGTATTTGTTTCTGGTGTGGTGCTCATGGGTTCTGCTACAACCTTCTAGGAAGCTTTTAAGGTCAGGATTGGCATAACTGTTCAGTTTTAAATATATAGAGTACACAAGAGAGGATGAACAGTGACTTAATATCTAACATATTCAGAGATTTGAGTAAGGGTACCGAGTGATGTCTGGGGCCAGAGTTAGATATTGTTCTAATAGCAGCTTTGTGTTGAGTAATTAGAGGACGTAAATTATTTTGGGTTATCTTGAGATGATCTTGAGGTTATCTTGAGATGATTTCGGTTCTTTTAGTGTCCCCGCGGCCCGGTCCTCGACCAGGCCTCCACCCCCAGGTAGCAGCCCGTGACAGCTGACTAACACCCAGGTACCTATTTTACTGCTAGGTAACAAGGGCATAGGATGAAAGAAACTCTGCCCATTGTTTCTCGCCGGCGCCTGGGATCGAACCCAGGACTACAGGATCAGAAGCCCTGTGTGCTGTCTGCTCGGCCAACCGGCTCCCGAGCGTAGTAGGGTAGTAGAACCCCAAGCACAAATACCATAGTTGAGATAAGGATAGATGAGAGAGTAATAGAGAGTCACCAGGGCAGGGCGAGGTACATAATATCTGATCTTAGAAAGAATGCCAACAGTTTTAGAATCTTTTTTTGCAATATTTAGAATGTGTCCCTGGAAATTCAGTTTGTGGTCAATGATGACACCAAGGAGCTTACCATCTACTTTGTTACTAATTTGGATAATGTTTATTCTTAGATTAATTTATTCTGAGAATTTATTACCAAGCAAAATATAAAAAGTTTTTTCAATATTGAGGGTGAGTTTGTTAACAGTTAGCCAAAGATGGACTTTATTTAGTTCAGTAAACTAAAGATGAATTCACTGTGACATTTAGAGCAAGAGGGTCAGGACTGGAGAAAATGAAGGTTGTGTCGTCAGCAAATAGAATTGGTTTGAGGTGTTGGGAGGCATTTGGAAGGTCATTAATGTAGATGAGAAAGAGGAGAGGACCAAGTATGCTGCCCTGAGGAACACAAATGTTTATGGGTTGTGTAGGAGATATGGAATTATTCACAGAAACATACTGGAGCCTGTCAGTAAGGTAAGACTGAAGGTATTGCAGGGAGTGTCCTCTGACTCCATAATGATGTAATTTAAGAAGAAGGTTTAGGTGGTTGACAGTGTCAAAAGCCTTACGCAGGTCCACAAATAACCCAACAGGGAACTCATTTTTATCAAGAGCTGCATGTAGCAAGTTAATCATATTAATCAGTACATCGTTAGTGCTTTTTTTTGGGTCTGAAGCCATATTGACAAGAGCTAAGAATATTGTGTTCGGCTAGATAAGAGTAAAGCTGCTTGTAGATTAGCTTTTCAAATATATTTGACAAGGTTGGCAGAATTTATATTCAGAATTGGAATATCATTAGCAAGGGATGTGGGATGTGCCAATGGATCAGAAAAAAACTATTGAATTCAATAGCAGTGTCAGAGGCAGAAAACCTCTGAAAGCTTCGTTATGGGATAGGAGTATAGGTTTTTATTCAAAATCTTTGTTGATCCCAGTATTTGGAAAATAATGCTCCAGGATTTCTTTATGTTGCCCTTAATTTGGTTTAATTTATTTTCGTAGTATTTTATTTTGGCTCTTCTAATTATTTTAGACAGCATTGATGAGTAAATCTTTGGAACTTCTTTAGAGACAACTCCTAACCAATACTTCTCATGGTCATATTTTTTTACTAATAGATTTCAGTATAACCTTTTTGTTAGCCAAGGATTGTTTAGCCTTTTAGTTGTGACTTGTTTCGTTAGCATTGGACAGTGGGTGTTATAAAGGCTCAGAGTTTTCTGAAGAAATGTTTGCACTGCTGGGTTGATGTTCACTATGTCACCTAATTCAGTCTCCCAGTTGATATTAGCAGCAGCAGCAATAAAGTTGCTTATAGAAGTTTCATTGTGCAGCCTAAAACTTATCTTCATTGTATCTAGAAGTGGTTTATTAATGTTGGTTAGGAGAAATGTCGAGTAATGGTCTGTGGTCCTACAGTGATTATCACTGAAGTTAGTGGAGATGTTACGTGCAAGTGCAACATGTGCAAAACCTGGTTCCTAAATGCTAATCTTGATCTGAAACTTTTCCTTAATAGGTGTAATAGAACCCACGAACACAACACCAGAAATAAACATATCTTTGATATCCCCAGAGTCAGACTAAATCTATGCAAACACTCCATGAAAATAAAAGGACCCAGTCTATGGAACTCACTGAGAAATTAAAAAATTGTCCAACCTATGCCTTGTTCAAAAGTAAAACCAAAAAGTACCTAATTTCATCCTCATAGTTTCCTGCTTCAGACTCACACTGTATCTTGCACTACCCACTTCCTCAATACTTGTAGTTAAGACATATCCTCACCAGTGTAATCACCTGTCAACTTATATTGTAATTATTTGTTGATATAAACCCTTGCTACAATGTACCTTTCCATCTTACCTGATATGTTAGATTAAGGACCTGTCCGAAACGCCTGTTACTGACTTTACATGAATGTAAAAATACCAACCTTATGTAATCTCACCAACCCATTGTACCTTTTTGTTAATAAATTATTATTATTATTGTTAAATATTATTATTATTATTATTATTATTATTATTATTATTATTATTATTATTATTATTATCCCAATACTGGCCAGTCCCACCGGACAAAACCCATTGATGCTCCTTTGTTGATGTGTCCAACTCAGGAGCTGACACCGTCTTGTTCAAACCTCAGGGACATAATGTAGATAAAGATAAATAATTAAAGATAAAGGGAGATAAAGCACCCAATGAACTATCTCTTGAGAACGTTTTACAAACCTGATATAAACAATACCCTTGCTTAAAAAATTGGTCGCTTAAACGTCAGTGGTACGGTAGTACACAGCCAACTACCCATTAGTATTTATCAACAAGATGAAAATTATTAATAAAATGATCCAAAGAAGGATCCAATTCCACTTACCAGGTAAACTCATCGTAAAGGGGCATAGCCTATCTAGGTCTACCGTAACCAAACTCTTGTGTACTGGACTGTCTTCTTTGGGTAGTGTGAAGTTAAACATTCTGTACAAAATGTTTCTACTCACCAAATAGTTTATACTTTCTCTTGGATGTGAAGGAGTCTTAAGGCTGGACTATATAGCAGGATATTTTCACCACCGAGCGGCAGGAATTTGCATAGAAGCCTCTTAAGGGCTGTGAATTCTCTAGTTCCTTAAAATTTTCTTAGATTAAGGACCTGCCCGAAACGCTGCGCGTGCTAGTGGCTTTACAAGACTGTAATTACCATATTTGTATCCTCACATTCCTTATGTACATTCTTGTATATGCATAAATAAATAAATAAGTTAATTTAATTTTGCCAATTCGTGCAGCCTAATGCTATTTAATACCTGCTACACAGGCCTGATGTAACATGTACTAAGAACGAGTACATGTGGTCTCTCAGAGTGATGATGTACTTGTACTCACCTAGTTGTGTTTGCGGGGGTTGAGCTCTGGCTCTTTGGTCCCGCCTCTCAACTGTCAATCAACTGGTGTACAGGTTCCTGAGCCTAACCTGAAGTACTAACCATCGTCTGCGTCACTAACAGCCACTGCAGATAACAGCACAACGGCCACACTCGCTACCAGATGGACCTTCATGTTTATCTTGAGC